GGAGAAGGAACCTGCAACATACCCATAGGCTGGGGAACACCCTTCTTGTCAACACGGTGGCAGAAAGGGATCTTGGAATCTTTGTTGACTCTAGGATGAACATGAGCCACCAATGCAAGGAAGCAATCAGTAAGGCTAACCGCATCTACAGATGCATCACAAGCAGGTCCAGGGAGGTGATCCTTCCCCTCCAACTGTGGCCTGACCAATGCCACAGAGTACTGTGTCCAGTTCTGGGCACTGCACTTCAAGAGAGATGTGGCTAGCTTTGAGAGGGTCCAGGGGACAGCCACTTGCATGGTCAAGGGGCAGCAGGGCAGGCCCTACAAGGACAGGCTAAAGGGCTAAACCTATTCAGCCTCTAGAAGAGAAGGCTGAGAGGGGATCTGGTGGCCATTTACAAACTCACCAGGGGGGACCTGCAACAGCTGGGGGAGGCTCTGTTCTCCTGGGCACCACCCAGGGTTACTAGGAATAATGGCCATAAATTGTTAGAGAGAAGGTTCAGGCTGGACAACAGGAGACATTACTTTACAGTTAGGGCTGCCAGGCTCTGGAACAGGCTCTCAAGTGAGGTGGTACTCTATCCGACCTTGGGGGTCTTCAAGAGGAGGCTGGACAGATATTTGGCTGGGGTGATATAACTGTGGCACCCATTCCTACCTGGGGCAGGGGGTCAGACCTGATGATCTCTTTAGGTCCCCTCCAACCCTAAGCACTACGAAACTATGATAAAGGGTGGGGGAGCTCTGAGGAGAAAGCGTGAGCTGTGTGAAAATTCCTGCCTCAGTTCTGTCCACCCGATCCAGGCAGAAGCGGTGGATCAGCAGAAGGGCTCTTGCAGGGATTGGTCACAAATCCCAGGCAAGGGGCCCATCTTCACTGCACACTGCCCCTAGCTGGGCAGACAAACAAGCATGGCACAGATGCCTTTTAGAAGCCTGCCATCAATAGCTCCTTCTGGAAGAGGAAAAAGCTGAGGGGGACCTTTTGGGTGGCAGTAAGAGTGAAAGTTGGGGGAAGGGAGATTGCATTCCCTGGACCTTGACTCTTATCTCTACTGGTCTGAGCAACAGCTTCCTCCCCAAAGTGCCCTGGTCAAAGAACACAAAGAGCTTACCTTCTCAGGAGGGACACTGTACAGTTCTGGTAACAGGCGAATTCCATTCTTCCCCTTAATGAGGACCCCTTCAAGAGCCTCCCTGTACTCCTGAACCTAGGAAGAAAGAAGAAGAGAGGCTCAGCTCCCAGCAAAGGACTCTCAGGGCAGAGATCTGTGAACCTGCCCAGCTTCCGTGGGAGGGAGCACAAGAGGTTAAATTGGCAGTGGGAAATAACAATACACTCATCCTCCCCATATAGAGCCTGCAGAGCCCGTCCCTGCCCACCCACGTCCCACATCAGCAGCTCTATGTTCACAATTTATCCTCAGCTGAGGTGTCTCAGACTTGTGCCATTATAAAATACCCATTTCTGTAGCCAACAGTACACACAGGAGCAATCTGGCCACTATCATGTCCAACCAGCTTCAACTCCCCACTCTGAATGGCTACATACCTTTTTACAACTGGGCCAACTATAGGCAGCCCCTAGAGAAGGGACCGGCAATTATTTTGGGTGGAGAGCCGCTTACTGAGCTTTGGCAAGCCATCGAGGGCCACATGCCAGGCAGTCAGGGGCAGATAAATATTAATTTTCTAAATTTTGTAGGGGCCCTGCAGGCCAGATAGAATGGCCTGGCGGGCTGCATCTGCCACTCTGCTACTGCTCCCTTATTTTTACACACTAATAAAGTCAAATCAGCTCAGTAGCTTCAAGTGACCCCACAATCACTGAGCAGCATGCCCTGCAATGGAGGGCACAGAGAAAGAACTGTAGGCAGTCCATCAGGGGACTTACTGTACTTAACGATCAAGCAATTAGTTCATGTCTTCTCTTCAAGCCACGCCCCTCCATCTGTGTGTGCATACACTACCTGCTCAGCATTGCCACTGAAAATTCCATCGATGATGAAGTATGTCCAGAATAAAGGCCACTCACACTCGATGTTCTCAAAAAGCTTCAGCTCAGCTGGCTCGTAATAGAGACGATTAGGGTCCTGCAGGAAGATTACAAGTTAACAGGAATACAGAACAGTAAAGGATCTCCTGACTCATGGTGTCTAGCCCTCTGCAATCAGAGGCAGTCATAGCATATAACATTGTTCAGAAAGTGATCATGCTGCATCTTAAATTTAATTAGGGTTTTTTTGTCACCGTCATCCCCCACAATTCCCCATGGGAAGCTATTCCAGGGAAACCTCTTAATTTCCTGCTTGAACTTATGCACAGCCAGTTTGCACTTGCAAATAGCAGTCATATATCCTCTTGGCCTTGGTTACTCTCATAGGAAGAGTTCTCCAGCCCCTGCTCATCTCAGCAGCCCTTCTCTGCATCCAGCCCAGCTTGAATGCATTAATACTTCTTGCACTCTGGTAGAAATATTTTTCACCTGATCCATCCTAGAATGGCACTTGCCTTTTTGTGGCCATATCACCTTGGTGGCATTTTGTGATCAACTAATACATCCAAGTCTTTCATCCCTCTTGGGAAAACTATTCCAGGTTTACTTGCCTCTCTAGAATGCATGGTCAACCACGGAGTTTACGGACCAGGCGGGAGACTTGGGAAAGGAATTCTTGATTGCCTTCAAGGTGAGAGCCTATGAATATTCCCCTGAGCTAGTAGTTAACTGCTCTGAATTGTGATTATGCTTCTGTTAAAAGAACAAACAGGACAGTCTTACATGATTTAGCTGCACTAAAACAACTAAAACCCTATGGAATGTGAGCCTCATAGCAATCCACAGAATGAGGTGTTGGATACAGCCCCCTACCTGCATTACTTCATAAACAGGTTACAAGCTTCCTGTCTTACCAGAACCTGCAAAGTCAGCTAACTATATGCAGCTCCTACACAACTATACTGGTTGTTACAGCTTACACAGTTTTTAACCAAAAAGCTGAAATGCTGGTAGCTGGAAGGATTGCTGAATGCTTGTTGCATTGGAAAAATAAAAAGGTCTCCAGCTCTGAGGAGTCTAAACACTTCACACTGCTTACTATGGTGTCAGTGGAGCAGGCAGGTCACAGAAAAACCACATTCATCACGCACGCACGCACGCACGCACGCACGCACGCACGCACTGTAAATGTTCCATTGAAATTCATGTAGCAGCAGCAGAATGGTGAATATCTGAGAGAGGAATACCATCAGATTCACTTCCCAATAGCTTTTATTTAACCATAACAAAAATTTCACTCACTGCTTAGTTTGGTGTGTTTTTTTAAAAATGTGTTCAGTAAAAAGATCTACTGTCCTTTGAAGCCAACTACGAGCAGTTAAAAGAGCTTCACAAAGCAGCTTGATGGTTTCTCTTTAGGTAATGTTTTCCTAAAAAGCCATGAAAAGACAACTTCAGGCTGGGCTGCAACAAAGGAGTTAAGCTAATGCTAGAAACAGGAGATCAATGGAATTGAATTGAGTTTATCTGCCACATGGATGGCAAAAAGGTAACAAGAGGCAGCACCTGATGAGTCATGACGGCATGGGAATAGAGGACTAGAAAGGACTTTTAAATTAGAAGCCAAACAGGAAGAGAGTCTTACAGAAAACACCCTGGGGCTGGGGAGGGAGACCTGGGGCTCTCTTACTAAAGTGCCCAGAGCTGGGGAAGAGAAAGAAGCCATGCAGAATTGACCAGGAATTCTCTGCCTCCTGGAAGTTCTCTCAGGAACCAGAGCTGTCCTATCCACAGATGCCCAGCACAGAGTTCCAGCAGGATGGCTTTGAAAACACCTCTTCCTCCTGGGTGGCTCCTCTGCTGCTCCAGTGCTACTGATATTACCCAAGAACAGCACTTTGAAGGTCAGGAAGAGAGTGAGGTTCAGCAACTGCCAGGATATGCCAATGTAAACTGAGTGGCAGCAGATTCTGGGTAAAGCCATATCTCCCTCATAGCACTGATTACTAGTATGGCTCTTCCCACCCCACTCTAACATGTAGATGAAGCCTGCTCCCACTTTCTGTAATCCTTGCTGATGTCCAAAGCTCACTCTAAGGCCCCATATAGCTGCTCTCCAGGTCCTTGCCTGCTGCATCTCCCAAGCCCCTCCGTTTTCTTGTTTTATCTGACTGAATTACATGGGCTTCCATTCACACCACTTCAGTGCTGATGTTTAGACCCAGTTACTCAAGCCCCACCCCATGGGAATACACTAGGCAGCAACTGGGAAACATTCCAAAGCAGATGGATTCCAGCCAGCAATCCAGGACATGTTCTCCCTTGCAGGATGAGGAGAAAAAGGAGAACACATACCTCCCTGGGTGTCTTGTATCCATCTCTGAGAAACCGGCAGCAGCCATACCGTCCCTGGAAAGGAAAGAGGCAGGAGGCAAGTACTTAGCACTCTTAGCTACTTGGTACCAGGCAGGATACAACAGCACCCAATCTGCCATCAATACCCCAGCAGAACACATTGCTTCCAGAACCTCTGGGTCACATCCCTCCCCCATGCATTAGGTCATTTTATTACAGCACAGAAACGAACAAGCTTCCTCTTGATTAACTTCCTCATCTACATATCAGCATCACACAGGGCACTGCAGGCTGGGTTCACTTCCCTATACCACCTCCAGTGACTCTAAGAGGACAGTAACAGAGAGAAAAAAAATTGGGACAGGCCTGGGGGGGGGATTCTTTTTGCTCAGCAATTTTTCAGCTGGGCAGTGGCTGTCCTGCTGTTCTGGGGAGCTCTCCTTGCAGGGGCCAAGATCAGCTCATAAACAACATACCTGCAACTTTAGAATAATTTCCTGCTTTGTTTTCTCCACCAGCTCACCATCTTCCACAGCAAATGCTGGATAAGAGATGACTGAAAGGACGCTGGCATCAACTTCCTTAGATGTTGAAGCCCTCGGCAGCATTGAATGGAGAATAGACTAAGTAGATGGAGAAACGTTCCTTCAGACTGCAGCACGCAGGAGCATAAATACAATCACTCCTATCTGCACCCTATTAGTAATGGTACCCCAGCTCCCAGGTGGTAGAGAGTCACAGTGCAGAGCCCCATTCCAGTCACAGGCATGTCAAAGTTTGAACTGAAATAGTTATAAGAGAGAAGGTGGCTGTGGTTGCTGGGGGTAGCCAGGGAACACGGAGCAATTCTGGGCAAAGAGAAGCGCTGTCCTAGCCATGACCCAAGCCATGAGGTTCAGATCCAAGTAGATGCTTGGATTGGGACTGCCTCTGACATAGAGCTAAGGGACTTACTCTGCCCTGTGGAGCTCCATGACACAAACTACTGCTTCCTACTGCATATGAATAAGCCCACCCTACGTCAAATAGTGTATGGAAGCATCACTGTGAAAACAGGCCCTGTCTAACCACTGCTGTTCTGCTTGTCCCACAAGCTAGACAAATTTCAGGCAGGTACTCCCCTGAGCATGCACCAGAAAGTGGCTACATGACTTTTTCAGCATTTGGTGCACACACAGTGAGAACAAGCAGAGAGAGAGTGTTTCCATGGCAGCCATTCAATGTGGTGTGAACAGACTCTATTGGATCAACCAATAGATGGGTCAAAGCTGGGCTGCTCCCTACAAACATCTTACCTACTCTGCGCTCTTTCACTGGGCAGCATATTCAAGCCTCCTTTACTTTTCTATAACTCCTTTGGATTTTGAAGGAGTATGAGTTGGAAGGGATCTCAGGAGGTCATCTAGTCCAACCCCCTATTCAAGGATCATCTCCACTTAAGTGTCTAGAGAAGTGTGAATTTACTCTTAAAAATTTCCAAGGAGGGAGATTCCATAACTTCTCTGGGTAGCCTGTTTCAGTGCTTGATGATCCTCACAGCTAGTTCCTCTAAGAAGCATAAGAGGAAAGTCCTGGTAGCTGAGCCAGGCCCGGAAGTGCCCTGCTGGCCAGTTAGTGGTGCCCTCACCTGGCAATGCTGCACCTCATCTGAAAGAACGTGGATCACTGACTGGGGTCCTCCTTTTGCCCCAAAAAGGTCAAGTTCATCCAGGGCTTCAAGGGCTGCCTATGACCAGAGAAGGAAATGATGAAAGACACAGCACATAAAGCCTGACTGCTGCATCACTGACTCAACAGATTAAGTACAATAACTACAGTGTCTGGCACCAAGACACACTTCCCTGCCTCTGTGCAACAGCTGTGAGAACAAGAGAGACAAGACTGAAGAGGAGGTTACACATGAGCTACAGGGCTGGTGCTGGGCTCTCAGCTCCATTCCACAAGCCTTCGCTCACCAGTGCCCTTTTCTCATAGGTCTCACCAGAAACAGCCTCCAGTAACAGGGGGATTTTGAAATAAGACTGCCCAGAAGCCAAGGCTCTCCACCCATTTAATAGGCTATAAAATGCTATCGTCAGTAAGAGTGGTCAACATTATAAAACAGCATAATCCTACTTTACAGATAAGGAAACAGACGAAACACAGGGGTCAGCACAGTGATATCCTAGCCCAAATCCCTCAAGGAGGCTGACAGGAGCTGACAAAGGTGGCACAAACTTGCAGGTGTTTTGTGCTGCAGCTCGAGTTACCCAGAAGCTGCATGAAGGGGAGCAGTTAAAAAACAGAAGTCATTTTGCCACCAACTTGCAAGGGGAAAGGCTTGTCTCCTCATTAGGGATACAGCAATAAAGATTTTTTGGGCTGATACCAATGGCCAATTATTAACGAGCCATATTGGCTGATACTGATCCAAATGAATTTATCTATGAATCTATACAATCACCTGACTGGGGTCATCTGACCTTGGTCCTCTTTCCTGCCAGGGGCAGGGGTCGGACACAATCATCCATTGGGTCCCTTCTGACTCTATAATCTATGAATCTATAAAACACTGATATACAGACTGGCAGCTTGGAAGAGCAGCATCTAACTGGTAAGTCTGTTGTGGGGAAGGGAAGGGGCATGGGGCAGCAGATCAGAGGCTCCCACAGTGAGGGAAGGAGTGGGGCAGGGTAAGCAGTGCACAACAAGGGCAGGGAGGGGCATGGGATGGAGCTGCAAGAGGCTCATCTGGAGGGTGTGGGGAGGGGGGCAGTTTCCCACACTGTGCACTCCCCCAGAGCAGGCATGGTGGCCAGATGCCACCTGGATCTGGCAAGGGCAGGCTGCTGCTGTGGGCTGGGGTGGCACTGTGCTATTCCTGGAGGGGATGGGCAGAGGGTTGGGCCAGGGCTGTGCTCAGGGCAGGCAGTGGTGATGCTGGGAGGGGAGGCTACGATGAATTCTGGGGCATCCGTAGCCCACCCCATAGCCCCCACTCCCAGCACTGCCCACCCTGAGCACAGCCCCAGCACAACTCACCACCCCCCTGACCAGGAAGAACCTTGCACTGCCCCTGTCCCCAGCCCGCCCTCGCCCCATGCACAGATCCAGGGGGCACATGCATCCCTTGGGGGGTGTGCACAATGGAGAGAGCTGTCCCCCCACAGCCCTCACATGAGCCACTCATGACTCCATCCTGCACCCCCACCCAGGTAGTATCTACCCCAGCCCTACTCCCTCCCTCACTGAGGGTGCCTCAATCTGCCCCCAACTCCACGTGCCCTCTTCCCCCCACCCCTTCCCCCCCAAAAGACTTACTGGCTGGATGCTGCTCTCCAAGCTGCTGGGCCGGTTGTGTGCATGCTGCAGCTACATGCATACACACGGCATTTATCGGTGACACTATTGGCCACATTAGCCAAAAAAAGGCAATTGCCAATAATGTCGATTTTCCTTTTATCAGGGCCAATATGATATGGACAAATGTATCAATGCACCTCTATTCCTCATGACTGAATCAGTTACATAAAGCGGTTATTTGGGGCAACAGAGTTATCTTGGCCCAATCAGGCAGCATAGAATACCAGGCCCTAATAGCCTAGGAGAAAATCTCCCCTTGTGTGATCCAGCTACAGATAGGCCAAACACCTTCTTGAGATTCAAGCTCTTACAAAGAGCTGCTGAGCCTGGCTAACAAGGCCAGTTGGTAACTAATGCCAAATACAGAGGCAAGTACAGAGACAGCTGCATCCAAGCTCAACAGTGCAGTCACTCCACTGCAGCTTATCACCATATCCCAGGAGAAATTTAATTTCATTGTCAGTAAGGAACTCCGCCCTCTTCCTGTGCCCTTCTTACTCACCTTAGCCATGCCAACCGAACTCACATTCAGCTCTGTGATTCCCTGGTTCGTCTTGTCTCCACGCTCCCATATCCCAAAGTCCTGTTACAAATTGAAAGACATCAGTGAGGCAGGAGTGCTCATGACACCGATCAGGGAGATGCTAAACAGTAGGAGGTCCGAGCAACTCACAAGGCAGAACCATTTACCAGAACAGGAGCAGCAGAAAACAGCCCTTTGGTTCATGTTTGCCTAACTGTAAGCAACAGGGAACCTCTGTACTGTACAGCCACACAAGGCAGAGAAAAGCAGCTTACAGGGTCCCCAACACAACACCTCTCCTACAAAGCTGTGAGCTGGGTCAAATCTCACTGTAAATCTACAATCCTATTCAAATATGGAATCTGTTTATTAAAAATTGCCGTGCTTACTGGAACAGTCGCCTTCACATGAGGCTGCTGTCCCAGCAGAGCCCTCTAGGAACCTGCAGGCCTCCAGCCCTGGATATCTGGAGCCCAAATCAGACTTGCCAACTGTAGATTTCAAAAGGTGGGTTGCGTTATAACCCCATTATATAACTGGGGACATAGACGCAAAGACAGCAGTATGCCCAGTCACACACAGCAACATGAGTGGCAAAACCAGTCTTCCAACTCTGAGCTCCTGACAGTGCCCCATGCAGGGGACAACACTGCCTCTCCAAAGTCTGCTGAGTTCAGGTGATAGGGCCAAGAGGCCCCACTGTGAGCATAGTCTGGCCCAGTGCTTCTGTTTGAAGCGCTGCCCCGTCCCCGCCCCCAGCCACAACCAGCTGGGAAACTACTGAAAATCCCATTTGTGGTTTGCAAACAGTATAGAACTGAATGAGGAGTTTTGGAGATTGAGACAAGAATTATAAAGTATCCCTGGCTCACAGGGCAAAATGCATGTTCTGAGGACAAACAACAGGAAGCCTGAAAGTGCATTTGGGTTACACCAAAATAGACTGAACTGTGCCAAAAAGCATGCATGATGTCAAGGGGTGACCAAGTGCGTCTCAGCAGTCAGCACACTTAGAACTAGCATCAGAGGGTGTTTGCCACTGGTCCGAACAGGCCATGTGTGCACACCACTGCAGCACAGAGAACTCCTCAGCTGGGTGTCCAAGGCCTGTTCTATTACCAGTGATTTCCTTTGGGCTCAAATGACCAAGGATTGTGCTGCTAGAGAAGGAGGATGAAAAGGAGGAATGCAGCTCAGCTCGCATGGAGGCCCTGCATGGGACCCGTGACTCCTCTCGTTCCTGGCACACTGAGGCAGTAGCAACCCTTTATGTCCTGCCACACACAGAGCTGCTCAGCTCCTCCATTTCTGCTGCAATGACCCAGAACAGCACAGGACAGGCACAGCTATAAGTTCCGCACAGCAACGAGAGAGCAGGTTTGGACTGTGACAGCACAGGCCCCTGAGAGTGACCAATGCACCTTTCTTCAAGTCATGCCATAAAAAACAATAACAAACTCACCCCAGCACACATGGCCCAGAAGCCAATCTAGAATTCCCCCTCCTACCACCTTTAACCTCCCCTGAAGGAAAACAGGGCGTGATCTTCACACTCAGCTGAGGATGGGTTGGGAAAGGGCTACTCACTGCAGTCTTGTAAGCTGCTTCAATGTAAAAGACAACATTCTGTATGAAATTGACCTCATCCAGGCTGTGGATTATGTGAAGCCCTGAAGAAGAGAGAAGAAAAACTATAAACTCCTGTAGGTTAAAGCTAGGCCATATAATCATCAAATCCACATTCACTATCCATTTACCTTGATGAGATGCACACAGACTTTGAAGCCATCAATTTGCTCCTAGCTAGAACTGTCAGCAGCTGTCACTCATCTCCTGCCCATCCCATACTTTAGCAAGTCTTTCACATGAACCCACCCCGTCCTTGTGTGCTCTCATGATCAGCTGACCATATATAACAAGAGACCAGGGAATCCCACTGAATGAAGTGAGGGTCAACTAGGGTCTTAGGGTGTAGGTGGGTTTGGAACAGAGACTCTCTCTTACTGAGAGAAGTGCAATGGGGCCTCAATCTACTCAGATCCCTAGTGAAAGGTGTCAGAAGGGGGTTCATGTGATAATACTGGATGCAAAGTGATAAGCAGGGGGCATTCCCATGGCATTCCCCAGCCTTCTAAACCAAGAGAAAGAAGCAGAGCTAAGGCAACACATTTCAGTCCCAGGTAAGTTACACACACATTCCAACACCTTAATAAAAGGTCAGACATCACACTAAATTTAGCTAAACCTGTGTGCATGGAATCTCTTGTCTTAGCTTAAATCTGGTCCATGTACTATTTAACATTACTGTAGCTATACCTGCTAGTCCCAGCTTTCAGAAATGAATGGGGAGTGCAAATTGGTTTTAAAAAGTAAAATGCCTTTCATCCTAGTGGGGATGGCATCCACTTATGCCAAGGCAAAATTTGAACCTGTGCTGCCAGCAGCCACCAGACATGCTGTACTTATACATAACAGATTAGAGGCTGTAGGCACTTCACTCTGTGTAAGAAAACCCATGCACAGCTAAGTATGCTGATCCAACCTGTCAGCAACCAGACTGGACCATGAAGATGCACAGTAGTGGCAGAATAGGCACTCTCTGAAGCAGGGTTATAACAGAGGCCTTTAGGATACAAGGCATCACATCAGGACAGATCTGATTGTCCACCTCAGCCCCTGCAACCCTGTACTGATCTATACAGAGTAGAAACTGGCTGCAAGGAACAGAGGGTGAATTCCCCACACAGGCTGAGCAACCTCCTGTGCAGTTCCTCCAGCAGATATGGCCTAAAAGAGTCTCACTTTGGGGCTCTCTCTACCAGCAACAAGGCAGCTGGTGGAGCTGGATGATGCTCAGTCCTTCTAAACAGCCTTCCCTGAAAGCTCTTAATACCCTATAATTCATGAACCCTCCTAAACTCTCGGAGAGACAGGTCAGTATTATCATCCTCCTTTCACATACGGGGGGAACTGAGACACATGGATGTAGTCAGTTACCCAGATCTGCACAACACACCTCCAGCAAAGGCAACAACTGGTTCCAGATCTTCTGGTTTCTTGGTTCTGCTTTAACAACTGGTCCTTGTGTTACTCTGATTGTAGGTAAACCCAGGAGGCAAATCACTGGTCAGTAATTTACAGTTATGACCTGAGTGCAATGCTGGGATTAGGAGTCTGGGTTCCCTTTTGACTTTTGCCACAGCCTTTCTGGGCAAACTGAGCAAATTGTATGCCTCTCTGCTTAGATGCACAATAGATTTATGCTGTTTATGTAATTTATGTAATTAACATTGGTGCTGTACACAAGGGCTGCCCAACTCTTAAGCAGCTGGGGAACTTAGGAGCAGCACCAGCAGGGGCCACAGAGGGGCATCCCCACTGGTACACCATATGCACAGGCACCCAGCCATGGACTCACCTACCATACCATGCTGTGGGCTCCCCCAGCACTGCAGACTATGCCACACCATCCCCTGGGCCAGTGTAGAAAGTGTAAGTCTGGAAATGTCTGGCTACTGCTGCAGCTGGAGCAATGGGAAGAGTCTCAGTCAGATGCTGCAGGGGCTGCAAATTAACCCTTCGTGGGCCAGGTCCCCAGTTGAGAAGCTCCAATGTAAACCAACATAAATTACACAGAATCCCAACACAAACATGACCAGGACAGCTGTTCAAGGAGATGCTATTACAATGCCTTGTCATTTGGTGAAGGGGAGCAGGTAACAGTGCT